CCCCCCCTCTACTACCTCCTCACCCCCCCCTCTACCTCCTCACCCCCTCCACTACCTCCCCCCTACCCACCCCCTCTACCTCTCCCCACCCTCTCCCTCCCTCCCACCCCCCCTCTACCTCCCTCCCCCCTCCCCTACTACCTCCTCACCCCCTTACTACCTCCCTCCACCCCCCTCCTACCTCCCTCCCCCCTCCCACTACCTCCCCCTCTACTACCTCCCTCACCCCCTCCACTACCTCCTCCCCTCTACCTCCCCTCCCCCTCTACTCCTACATCCCTCTACTACCTCCTCACCCCCCTTACTACCTCCTCCCACCCCTCTACTACCTCCTCCCCCCTCCACTACCTCCTCACCCCCCTCTACTACCTCCTCACCCCCTCTACCACCTCCTCACCCCCTACTACCTCCTCCACCCCCCTACCTCCCTCACCCCCCTCCACCTCCTCACCCCCTCTACCTCCCTCACCCCCCCCTCCCTACCTCCCCTCCCCACCCCCCTCTACCTCCCTCACCCCCTCTACTACCTCCTCACCCCCCTCTACTACCTCCTCACCCCCCTCCTACCTCCTCACCCCCTCTATTTCCTCCTCCCCCCCCCAAGTTTTATCACGAAAACACCAAAAGATATACCATATTTTTCCCCCACTTTCACGTAAACAAAATTCTCAATGGAGTTATTGTTGTAAGGAATCTGTGTAACCTAACCACCCAGCCGGCCACCCACGTATCCAGCCAACTAGTTAGGCATCCATCTATCCGGCCAGTCAGGGAACGAACCAGTCACTCATCTATGGCCAGCCAGCCACCCATCCATGTATCCGGCCAGCTCGCCTCCCCCTGACATTGCTATCAGTTTACTGTGCTTGTGGCAGCTGACAGTTCCCCCACAAATAGCGTTAAATACTTAAATGAGAAGGTTAGGAAGGATGACGATGATATATGATAAATATTGATATATTATGACAATATAACAGCCTTATATAATGAATTGAAAATTTGAGAAAAACAAAGAAGAGAGACAGAGGAGGGAGACTTTTGTTAAAACAGATTATGCCCGTCACTTCCTGTTAGATACAATTAGCTTCCGGGTGTCGCGTTATACACACACACACACACACACACACACACACACACACACACACACACACACACACACACACACCACCTTCTTCCCCAGGGTATGTCATAGCCGCCGTGGAACACAAAGACTACACCCCTTCAGTAGCCTTCGCCACTCACTATTGACTATCGATAATTGAGGAGAATATCTGGTTATAAGAGCGGCATTTAAAGCACTGTGGGAGGGAGGAAAGGGAGGGTGGGGGAGTGAAGAGATGGGAGGAGGGAGAAGAGAATGAGGGGTGGAGGGAGGAAGAGGGGGAAGGAGAGAGGGAGGAGAGGGGGTGGATGGATGGAGGTTGAGAGGAAGAGGGAGATGTGAAGAGAAGAGAGAGGGAGGGGGAGAGAGGGAAGGGGAGATGAGGAGGAAGGAGTAGGGAAGAGGGGAGGAGGGGAGGGGGGAGAGAGGGAGGGGGATGAGAGAGGGGGGAGAGGGGAGACGAAAGGAGGAGGGAAGAGAGGAGGACAGTAAAGATAATCACCTTAATAAAACATCAAGGACGAGACCTAACACTCAAGCTCCTCCTTTAAGTATGTCCAAGACGGTGTGACCTTGTAAGACCTCTCCCTCCCACTCCCTCATCTACCATCCCTCCCACTCCTCCCTCCCCAACCCACCCAGGTCAAACATGATAAAAACAGGGAAGCAGCCGGAGTAGAAAGTAATAAAAAAACGAAAAATACTCCTTACTTATAACACGGAAGGGCAGCGACGCCTACAATCATCCTCAGGTCAGTAACAGTTCCAGCTGCATCCTCCCTTCACCACGTCACCATTACTGACACACAATGGAGTGCACGTTAAGTCCTGACTGCACACACACTTACACTTGCAGTCAGTTCTAGGCGGGCCTCGGACGTTGAGGCAGAAGTGTCCAAAAGGGCGGCCACTATCCACTGACACGCTCCCCGTCTCATTCACAGGGGTTTGAGAGCACGGGTGCAGATAAGGAGGACTGTCCCTAAGCACGCTTCATATTGCTGCAGGAGAACTGCATTGGTAAGCGGAATGTTTTTTTTTTAATCTGGCGTCGTGTCTTTCTGAAGGGACTCACTCTGGCACTGTTCACGTCGTTTACTGCTGCTTCAGTCGCACAGTAACACCATAAACCCTTCAATGACTGACATGTCAATATCAGTGAGGTGAGATGGGGCAGTGGACAGTCGTTATAAGCCACTGTGGTGTCTTCATACACCCGCCATGCCTTCTTTCTAATGTTGTTGAAACTGGCCACGGTAACAGTCAGTGGGACTGCAACAGGGCCACGCATTTGGGATTTTGCGGATCCAAGAGTTGAAGAGATTTTGTGTGTTGGGATGTACAGTTGGCTCCACTTAGAGTTGCCAATCCTCTCTCTCCCTGAGTTATGAACCCAAAACTCTGAAGTATGAATTCGAAGTATTCGCTAGTGAGTAGAAGGGAGAGGGGAGGCGTGTGTTGGGGTAGGTGTCTTGCTGTGGGGGGCTACTGGGGGTGAGGACGGAAAGCCTTATTCTGAAGGGATTAATTGGCGATCAAATCAACCAAGAAGTGGGTATTGTCAAAGCGTTACCCTGCATTATAATCTCTTCCATCCGATATACACTTTCCGTCCTCACCCCCAGTAGCCCCCCCAAGAAGGTCAACAATTCCTTCTTGGACAGATAAGAGTAATAATGGTTGGGTGTAAACAGGAGCTACATAGTATAAGAACCAATAGATAAATTTCCTTTATTAGTAAGTTACTGTATCGTCAACAACATGCTCCGACAGTGCAGGTTCCCGCCACATTATAACTCTCTTTAAGAAAGCTATTATGACTTTCTCTGGGTAATGTTGTCCTTATATCACTGCCAAACACTTTCTCCCAAGTTGTAGATCACGTCATTCTGCACAATGGTGGCCAACATACTAATTTAATGGCACGTTCATTATTGCTTTCTTTATGCTTTCCTTTTGTTATGTTGTTTTCCTTCTTTCTTCGTGTTCAGTTTATTGGCACTTTCCATCATTCTTCCTTCATCTTCACTTTTATTTGTCTCTTCCATCATTCCATCTACCACCATCACGTTCCTAACTACCACCATCACCTTCCTAACTACCACCATCACCTGCCTAACTACCACCATCACCTTCCTAACTACCACCATCACCTGCCTAACTACCACCATCACCTGCCTAACTACCACCATCACCTGCCTAACTACCACCATCACCTGCCTAACTACCACCATCACCTGCCTAACTACCACCATCACGTTCCTAACTACCACCATCACCTTCCTAACTACCACCATCACCTTCCTAACTACCACCATCACCTGCTAACTACCACCATCACCTTCCTAATTACCAAACCATCACCCCCATCCTCTAACTCCCACCACTCTTTAATTAGTACCACTAACACGTCCTAATAACCAACACTAACACTCTATAACTGCCACCACTACCTCTGTAACAATCACCACTACCACTCTAAAAATCACCACTACCATTCAACAATCACCACTACCACTCTAACAATCACCACTACCACTCTCTAACTACCACCACTACCACTCAACAATCACCACTACCACTCAACAATCACCACTACCACTCAACAATCACCACTACCACTCTAACAATCACCACTACCACTCAACAATCACCACTACCACTCTAACAATCACCACTACCACTCTATAACTACCACCACTACCTCTGTAACAATCACCACTACCACTCAACAATCACCACTACCACTCTAACAATCACCACTACCACTCTCTAACTACCACCACTATCACGCCCTAACACTCATCACTACCTAACAACCACCCACCCCCGTCACCTAGGTAGCGTCAACAAGGTGTGAAGCTCTCCGGAAAACTCACTCATGACTGTGATATTAATTTACCGTTCCACTCACTCATGCTCTCTCCAGGGGCTTCCGGGAGGGACTTGGAGGCTTCCAGGAGGGACTTGAGGCTTCCAGGAGGGACTTGGAGGTTTCCAGGAGGGACTTGGAAATCTAATCTTCCAGGGGGCTTCCAGAAGGGCTTTGGGGGCTTCCAGGAGGGTTTTTGCGGCTTCCAGGAGGGCTTAGGGGGCTTCCAGGAGGGTTTTGGGGTCTTCCAGGAGGGCTTTGGGGGCTTCCAGGAGGGTTTTGGGGCGTCCAAGAAGGTTTTGAGGCTCCAAGAAGGGGCTTAGAGGTTTCTGCGGCCAATTATCTTGAACCTCTTGTTAACTGAAATCTTTAGGTGGCATCTTGTAAGGAACACCTCGGCAGTTGTAAGGATAACCCTCCATACACGCTAGGTATACTGTATACAGCATACATGTATATGCCATTTATATGTATAATACTGTACTATGCATATGCTAATTGTATATATGTTACGTTTTTTGTGCGAAATCGGTTATTTTGAAAAATGACCAGCATGCATATTGGTAATTTTGCAAAATAACTTACAAACGGATAACCTAAACTAACCTAACCTTATGGTTGAATGAGATCAGGTTAGGATGTTATCGTGTAGCTTGATACACAGTTAAGTGGTCCCGTTATGTTTTTTAACCTTGGCCTACAGTATGTGCTGTCCTAGCCATAAGGTTAGGTTAGGTTGTCTGTTTGTAAGTTATTTTGCAAAATTACCAATTCAGGAAAAAAACCCGTAACATATATATAATATATAGTGTATATGTACAGTATGTGTATGTATCTGGTTTGCACGCAGTATTCATATGCTAAGTAAATATTTTCTCTGTATGTATATATGCTATGTATACGTATATTTTGTATATGGTCTCTAACTGAAGAAAGAAAGAAAGAAAGAAAGAAAGAAAGAAAGAAAGAAAGAAAGAAGAGCCAGGACACCCACAATCAGTAATAACAACACAACAACTAACTCACCTGATTGGCTTTGTTAAACTGCTTCTTGAGGCCAGCGAACGCCATGGTGGTGGTGGTGGTGGTGGGAGGTAGACCCCCCTCCCTGCTCCACGGACACAAGCACTAGCCCCCAGCACTTAGCCCCACTGTGGGTCTATCCCAGGCTGGGGCTACCTTGGGGTCGCTACTATCCCAGGGGTGACTTTATCCCAGGGTGTTATGGGCGTCACACACACACACACACGTTTCAACACGACATAGACTACGCGCGCGCGGGCTGACACACGTCACCACCTGGGGAAGAGAGAAATATATAAATAAGTAATAGATAAATAACCGGTAAAATAATATAATTTATTTTTACTATTCCATCTTGAATGTAAAAGAACCTAACCTATTTAACCTAACTTAATCTAAAACTGGAAAATACATATTTATTGCGTACAATGACTTAACCCTTTGTGTACGATGTAATAATAATAATAATAATAATAATAATAATAATAACAATAATAACAATAATAATAATAATAATAATAATAATAATAATAATAATAATAATAATAACAACAAACGGTTTATTGAAAGATATGGCAGCTAGAAGGCTGAAAATATAGTTACACAATTGGTGAATGGGTCACTTGACTGACAAATAATATACAAGTAACATAAGTGATACAAATATGATATATAATAACTGTGTGGAGAGAAGGTCATACTACAGGACAGTTCAACAGTGACAGTGCAAAAAGGTAAGATTGGTTGGGAGTGAATACACTGGTTGATTACAAGTTATTGATAATTTTTACAATGGTTGGGACTGGGCTGTTCTTATAGCGATTAGTACGTGATCGGATGGGCTGGATGCGGAAGAGGGATCTTGGGTGGTAGTAGGAGCTGGTTTCAAGGATGGTGAAGAAGTTTCTCCCAAAATTTGCAAATAAGGTCATGGTGATGATCAGTGTGTTGAGTGCTTCTTGATATGTGTAGTAGTAGTATGGGGGAGGATAATCTTGCAAGCCCTCTTCTGCACTTTTTGTAGGTGTTTCCGTTGTGTGGCATTTTGGGAATCGTAAATGTTGAGTTAGCACTGAGGAGCTCGGGAGCGGGACTTGAGGCGGCGGAGGAGGTGGAGATGAAAACAGATTTGACAACTTCACTGACGTGTTTATTTCCCAATTTAGTTTTTTATCTATAGTGACACCGAGGAGCTTGGTGGAGTCCACAACCAGAAGTGTGTTGGGGCCCAAAGTAATGGTGGGAGTGGGACATGATGAGAGGAGAGGTTGATGTGCATAACCATGGTCTTGGTATGGTTGATGGTGACGCCCCTCGGAAGCGTACGGCTTTGCGTCGGTCACTGAGGAAGTCTACATAAAACTTCGCCGAAACCTGAGGTCGAAAGTTTTGTTGAAGATTAATAAATTATGGTCGACTAGGTAGAATGCCTATGGTGAAGCCAATAAAGGCGACAGCCACAGATATTTTTCGTTTTTCCAGATGGCGGTATAGGTAGTCGAGAAAGCTGACAAGACAGTGAGTGGTGGAGGAAGTTTTCATATTGCCAAATTGCTGAGGATCTATGGCGCCTGCAATATCAGCATAAGCCCAATCAAACACGAAAATTTCACAGGTTAAGCTGGGTATTGGGGTGATGGCAATGGGTCGCAGCTCATTTAAGGATTGCGGGCTGGTTGACTTGGCCACTGGTGACACATATGAGGTCTTCCAGTCAGCTGAGCATCTTGCTTGGCTGAGGGAAGTATTGAAGATGGAGCAGAGGGGTTTAGCTAATTCCGAGGGGAACTCCTTGTAGGGTTTTAATAGTAAGTCAATGGGGGTGGTGGAGCGCTTTAGCTTCAGTTGCTCAAACGCCATGCTACATTAAATTATTCTACTTCAGTGGGAGAGAAGGCTGGTAGGTGAGCGGGGAGAAAGGTTGTGTCAAGCTGAGGGAGCGTCTGGCATATAGTTGCAAAATAGCGGTTAGAGAGATGGGGGGTTCTACTTGCACTAAATATACACTAAGGGTCCACCAGGGTCGTCGTGCACTGCCCTGGGGGTCGCAGGACACCTGGTAACCTCCCAGCCCTCAAGCCCTCCCGCCCGGCCCTAGCCCTCTCCCGCCCGGCCCCAGCCCTCTCCGCCCCAGCCCGTCGCCATGTGAGAGAGAGATGCCGGTGCTACTATGATGCGGTCTACAAGATATCTTTAGTCTCACCTACCTAACCTACATATCTTTTAAGCCATACGCTATAGTAGCACCGAGATGCCCACACCTTCTATACACACCTCCCCTCAACACACTGTATATACACGACGTTGGTGAACTCCGCCTCTGAAGGACATTAGAAAACATCTTTACCCCAAGTCTCGGTGCAGTTTGGACGCCATCTTTATAACTTACCTTAATTTTAACTACATACCGTAATCACGGGAACAAAACTCGACGGTCGTAATTTTAAGGAATGCGAACCTAGTATTGCAAAAATCCGGATTCTTCCCCACGAACACTACCGCCATGATAAACCTGATGTCAACAAAGGCCCCGCGACCCACAGACACACACACACACAACCCTCGCCCTTAACACAACCAGCAATAAGTGTCAGATCCCAACCCTCCCTCACCCCCACCACCACTCACACCCAAGACTCTTAAAGTGAGAGAAGATTAGGGTCGGATTAGAGTGTTCTTCACCTCCTTTACAACCCCGAGTTAGCCAATTTGATGTTATGGCGGGAATTGCATGAAGGTCGTATCCCCTCCTCTCCCACCCCTCCCAGCTATCTCTCTTATACCCTTCCTCTCTCACCCTCCTACCTCTTTCCACCCTTCCTTACTCTTATTCCTTCTCCCATCTCCATCCTCTACCAGTCTATCTGTTTGTGGGTTCTGATTTTAATGAGAATGAGTGAGTGAGGGTAATCTCTCTCTCTCTCTCTCTCTCTCTCTCTCTCTCTCTCTCTCTCTCTCTCTCTCTCTCTCTCTCTCTCTCTCTCTCTCTCCCCGACACCCCGCCTTTAGACCCCCACCTTCATCTGGGTGTAAGGTGGAGGTGTCAAAATATCCCGCCCAGGAGTCCACCTACACAGAGGGTGGATGGGTGGAAAATGGAAGGAAAATAATAAGACAAACAATAGAGAAAGAAAGAATGAACACAATTTAAGATATAACCAAACAAACAGACAAATACAACTCAAGTCATTAATTACAGCAACAGATGAACCACATAATTACTTCATTAATGGTAATTACTGTATGCCGTGATCACTACTTGTTTTACCCTGTTACTGAACCCTTCCCTCCCTCTTCCTTCCTTCCTACTTTCCATCCTTATTCCTTCCTTCTCTCCACGCCTTCAAGTTATAATAGTATGTAATAATAATAATAACAACAATAGGAACAACAACAACAACTATAATAATAAAAATAATAATAATAATAATAATAATAATAATAATAATAATAATAATAATAATAATAATAATACCTCACACCAGCTGGCACCTGAGGACATGATGCCAGGAATAGTGCCGGTGTGACCTAGTTTCCTCCTGACTAACCTAAGCTGACCTCATTACCCTGTTCTGACCATCCTTGACCTTACACTGAGAAAGAGAGAGTGAGGGAGATGTCAAACAGTGCCAAGATCACCTGATGTTGGCACTTGATGGACTTCTTCCTCCACATTTACATAGTGCCAGTCAGTGCCATCCATATTACTCTCTCTACTCCCCTCACGTAGGTATTCCTCACCTCACTTGGCACTATCCTTCACATAGTACCATCCAGTGCCACCCCCTCTCTCAATTAGGCGCTCCCTCACTTAAGTGGGTCCCGTCTCCCTCACTAAGGTGGGTCCCGTCTCCCTCACTAAGGTGGGTCCCGTCTCCCTCACTAAGGTGGGTCCCGTCTCCCTCACTAAGGTGGGTCCCGTCTCCCTCACCTCTATTCTCCTACCCCTCTCTTTATCTCACCCTTCCCTTCCTCTCTCAACCCTTCCTATCTCCCACTACCTCTCCCCATCCTCCTCCCTTCCCACTCCCTCCCACAGGTAAGTCAACAATACCCACCAAAGTTATTACATGTAACAGAGACGCGTGAACACAGCTGGTAAGATGTGTGTGTGAGACGTGTGGGGACGTGTGCGGGCGTGTGTAGACCTGTGCGGGCGTGTGTAGACCTGTGCGGGCGTGTGTTAGACCTGTGCGGGCTGTGGGTGCGGGCAGCGGCGTGTGTAGACCTGTGCGGGCGTGTGTAGACCTGTGCGGGCGTGTGTAGACCTGTGCGGGCGTGTAGACCTGTGCGGGCGTGTAGACCTGTGCGGGCGTGTGTAGACCTGTGCGGGCGTGTGGGCCCTGTGCGGGCGTGTGGCGGCGTGTGTGACCTGTGCGGGCGTGTGTAGACCTGTGCGGGCGTGTGTAGACCTGTGCGGGCGTGCGGGCGTGTGTAGACCTGTGCGGGCGTAGACCTGTGTGGGCGTGCGGGCGGGCGTGTCCTGTGCGGGCGTGTAGACCTGTGCGGGCGTGTGCGGGCGTGTGTGGGCGTGTGCTGTGCTGTGCGGGCGTGTGTAGACCTGTGCGGGCGTGTGTAGACCTGTGCGGGCGTGTGTGTGACTTGTGCGGGCGTGTGTGTAGACTTGTGCGGGCGTGTTTGGGTGTGCGGGCGTGTTTGGGTGTGCGGGCGTGTTTGGGTGTCGTTGGTGATAAAGGTCACAGTAAAGACGGCCTCTGCATGGACCTTTACTGAGAACTGCTCTTAAGTCACACTGTTCAGCGCCAGACACAGCACCATTTGGACGTGAGCGTGTGTGGGTGTTGTGGGCGTGAGTGTGTGTGGGTGTTGTGGGAGTGAGCGTGTGGGTGTTGTGGGCGTGTGTGTGTGGGTGTGATGGCGAGCGTGTGGTCGTTGTGGGCGTGAGCTTGTGTGGATGTTGTGGGCGTGAGTGTGTGTGGGTGTGGGAGTGAGCGTGTGTGGGTGTTGTAGGAGTGAGCGTGTGCAGGTGTTGTGGGCGTGGTGTGTATGGGTGTTGTGGAGTGAGCGTGTGGGGTGTTGTGGGCGTGTGTGTGTGGGTGTTGGGAGGAGCGTGTGTGGGTGTGTGGGGAGTGAGCGTGTGGGTGTGGGTGAGCGGTTGTGGGCGTGAGTGTGGTGGGTGTTGTGGGCGTGAGTGTGTGTGGGTGTTGTGGGCGTGAGTGTGGGTGTTGTGGGCGTGAGTGTGTATGGGTGTTGAGCGTGTGGGTGTTGGGCGTGAGCGTGTGTGGGTGTTGTGGGCGTGAGCGTGTGTGGGTGTT